CACACACACACACACACACACACACAATAATATATATATATATATATATAGTTACTTATATATATATATATGGGGGGGGGGGGGGATTCAGACACACCAATTAGTTCGTTATCCCGTACGAAACACCGGAACTCCATTGCCGGTTGCAGATGGTACCAGCGCCGTAGCACCAGCTCGTAAGAGGTGTTGACTAGCCCACTCGACCTGTCCTCTGTCCGTTTGGGATGTGAGTCACTGGGACTGTAGCCCTTCTCGTTCACGTCCACACAACCCTCGTATGGCTGGATTGAGTTTATATAGACCAGAGTGTTGGTAAGCCATGTGAGCGTGGCGCGTTTGTGCGCATTGGTAGTGCTTTCGGTACCTTTGAATACGCTACCAGTACTTTCTGTAATTATATCTGTATTGGTAGTGCTGGTATTGGTATGCAGATCAGAGATTCATCAAAGACATGTATGTCAAATGCGGATGACCTCATTTGCCAGAATGGCAAAGGCTAAAGGGTGTGACAATTACCATCGCCATAGTGTATGGATGAAGATCAAACCGTGGCGAGCAGAAGGGACAAACCTGGGCCTTTACTTGGAAATGGGTACTCGAGGGATTGCGATCAACGATTTGATATAGCGAATGACACTTTCGGGTGCGGACTACCTTCCCCCTTCACTAAACACGATGTGCCTAATGATATGTCGAATAAAGTGTTGCTCGCACACGGCACCAATGTGTGTGTATACGAGCAGCCAGAGACTTGTAAGCAGGCGCAGTGTCACACACACGAACTCTCTCATCACCTGGTACAAATCGTGAGATACAAATCACCAACATATATTGCTTGGCACAAATGCTGTACACAAGATCACCTCTTACTTGGTAGAGGTCATGGGAAACAAAATCCGAACTCTTCAACAGCAGCAACACATCGTTCACGCAGTTACATCGCAGTGTGCTGCCCGTTGCTATCCAATGCGCGTCCCGCGGTGACGACCTAAGACGTTGATAGTAAATCAGTATGCATTAAGGAGATGTGCCTCACCTATCTATCTGACTATATCATGACCATCATGTGGTGGCGACCTAGGACGATGAAGGTAAGTCAGTATGCGTTAGCGAGATAAGCTTCACCTGCGTATATTACACATCTATCTATCTGACTATCTCATGACCGTCATGTGGTCATGACCTAGGACGATGATAGTAAGTCAGTATGCGTTATGGAGATAGCCCTCACCAGTGTATATTGTACATATGTTTATCCGCGCTTTCCAATCGATTCATACGACATTTCACTCAAATATATAGCGCTTAACCAAAAGACGGTGATAGGATCTAATTCATATGCAGATCAGACTATAATCGCCGTTGACATGCGGTCGCTTGAGGATATTCACACAGGCACAGCCTTGTCCCTTAAGCTCTACGACATCACAGCCTCAAAAGACATAATCCTACAAGCACAGCAGATAAAAGCGCACTAACCAAAGTGTCATTGTTTCTGGTGGGTTGAATATAGTAACGTGTTTGCAGAAACTTACATAAATATCTCGTATGTGATAAGAAGTATTGCTTCGACATCAGGTCCTGGTTCCGTACATTATGACATACGAACAC